AATGACAATGACAATGACAATGACAATGACAATGACAATGACAATGATGGGATTAACAGTGGATTCCACAGAGTGGCTCTTCTTCCACTGGATTCCAATTGGAATTTAGAAGTTGATTTTTGTGGAGGGAGGAAAGCTAGAGAACCCGGAAAACCCTGGAAGCACAGGTGGAGAGAACCAACAAACAACTCTACTCACATATGACACCGAGCTTAGCAGGACTCAAACTAGCTGGGTCCCATTGGTGAGAGGTGAGTGCTCTCACCGCTACGCCACCCATGCTTCCCAATATGGTTTATGYTTTGAGTATGACAGAATATAAACATATCTGTAGTGTAGTTAAATTTCATTAGAGGTGTTCAACTCACATGGTCCCACCAGCACTCACAGAAATTCGGCAGTTGATGTTCCAGCGTATATTCAAGAATCTCAAATAAAACACTAATTACAGTACACAACCACCAATCCCGGATCATCAGCGCCTGCAGAAGAATAGCAAACASGTTACATCAAGCAAGAATTTTGAAAATTATTTATTAATATTTGAATACTTTTTAAAAATATTTTTCCTTCAAGTATTATACTCGTTGTTAACTTCTTCAGCATTCCTGATCTCTAGCCAATATCATTTAGAATAGTTTTATATACGTACATAATGAACACAAGTCTAATACTCATTCAGAAAAAAGTATGTCAAAATTACCTTTTGAATGAAATAGAAAACGTGTGCGCATGCTTTGTGCAGTTATGAAGCACGTGGGGTTGGCAGAACATGAGAGAAGTGTTTAGGAGAAGCATGACGCATAGTGGAGTGCTTCTCGACACTTCTCAAATGTTTTGCCAATCCCCCAGTGCTTTATAACGGCACACAGCTATGGCGCGCCAAACCGGACAAAAATACTTGTATCAAATAGATAAGACTTATTTTGAGAAATATAAAACTTCTTGTCAAAATATGAAACTTGTTTTAAGAAATATTACCCTGCGAGCAGAGTCTCCTTTTAACTCCTCTACGGGCGAGACTCTGCTCGCAGGGTAAAGAAATATAAGAGTTATTGTAAAAATATAAGACTTGTCGAAGAAATATAAAACTTCTTGTCGAAATATATGACTTTATTGACGCCTGCGATCTGTGGTCAGCAGCACAAAATGTCGAGACTGCGGTATTATTGACCAGCGGGCATYAACCCGAGTCATTAAACAAAGATGGCGGACGACTTGGTTGTTCTTCTTGACATTTTACACATTGGAAAACAAATCTGCGACGAAGTGAGAAGAAATATTTTTGTGACCGATAGAGAGACAGCCGGGAAACTCAGGAATAACTGTGTTCAAGTTATCATCGCTTTAGTTGTTGCAACCAGACAACTACCGAACGAGCAAGACCGAAATTTTATTCACGAGAATGTTTATATGTTAATCCTAGAAATTCAGAAATATATTTTATTG